GGGACGCCATGGGGCAGCACTGACTTGAGGGCCAGTGGCTTGGGCTTTGCAGTGACGCAGGTGGTTAAGCACACGACTCCCGGCTGAAAGGCAGGGGCGGGAACCCACCTAGAGGCGCCTCGGAAGAAAGGCCTGGTGTGTGTGGGGGTGTCTAGTTCCAAACGGTCCCAGCCTTGAAAACTACTTCACCCCACAGGGGTTTCCCGTGAATTGGGATAATTCTCGAAACCGGCTTGGGCCTAGCGTGCGCGCGTGTGTGTCTGTTTGTCCCTGTGTGGCAGCTGGACCCCCGGAGCCTCAAACATTTTGTCTGTGGACCTTTGAGGATCTTTGTGGATCTATAACACCGTACGTGGCCGTGCCCAGCATGTCCTGGGACTTCCCCTCTCCGAGCTGCGGCCTTGAAGAGTCAAGGTCAACACTGTCACATGACCCCAGGCAGTGACCCATCAGTGGGTCCCAAGCCCTTAGCCAAGCTGTGCTTTCAGTGGCCGAGTGGGCTCCAGCAGATCATTCCAAACAAACACAACCGAAACAGAAAGCCCCTCCACACTGTCTTTGCCGAGGGCGTGCTGGGCAACATGCTGGACTGCTAATCACCAGGCCAGCAGTCAGGACACACCAAAGGCCCCCGGGGTCAAAGAGGAGGCTGCCTGCTCCCGTCAAGAGGTGCAGCCTCGGAGGCGCACGGGGGCTGCTCCACTCTGCCTTGGGGGGCCCTGGGGGTCGGCGCTGGCTCGTGGCAGTGGGCTTTGCCCTGAGCAGCGGCCGCCGCCGCGTCAGGACTCTATTTCCACACCGCCTTCTCCTGGGCTGCCGCCCTGGGGCCCTGCGCCCAGGCACCCCCTCTTACCCTCAGCCACTGCTTCTCCGTGAGGGTGTCGCTGTAGTCCACGTCCCGGCGCTGGCGGGAGCCCCTGCCGAAGATCTTCTCCTCCTCCTCCTCGCAGGTCAGCCGCTCCACCTCGGCGTCATCCTTGATGATCCACGAGGGCAGCTCGTCCTCCTCCAGGAGCCGCGGCTTGCGTTTCGGGTTCCGCGCGTCCTCCCGGCGCCGGTCCATGTCCATGCGCTGGGGACAGTCACACGGGTGTCACCGAAGAGAGAGGTGCAAACGCCGGGCAGGGGGCTGGGGATGGGAATCCGCTCACCCGCTGCCCGGCTCGCAGCCACCCGGGGGACAGATAAGTACCCCTGTGGGTTTCTGAGCCTGAGTCTGGGAGCAGGCAGCCTCGTTTACCTCCCAGGGAGTGGCTGGTGGGTTTGAAGCCCTGACCTGGGGGTTAACAGTCTGGTGCCTAACTACAGCACCACTGAAACTCACATGAGCCACCCCAATGGCTGTGGGGCCCCTTCATATTCTCCATCAACCAAGCGGAGAGTCACCCCCCAGTAGTTTCGGGGTCTCGGCTGATCCCACCAGCATCAGGGCGGAATTGTGCTCTGCTCCATGGGGCTTTCCCCGGCCGGTTCTTCGGAAGCATAACATTTTCCTGAGGTGCTTCAAGGTGCGCTCAGAGGGAGTAGTCAGGCACCACCCAGGACAGAGCTTCTTTTGGGGAGCCCTCTCCCTCCGCGTGGCATGTTCCAGCTCACCCCCAAACCACTGCATATGGGTGGAAGTGTCTACCAGCCAAAATTCCTTCCTTGGAGCTTGCCTTTGGACAGTTAGGGATTCACTGAAAAATACTCTTTTTCAGAATGCCTCCTCGTTATGTTCCTGGGCACAAAGCTAGCTGCTCTTTACAAATTACCCATAAGAAACCCTTGTTGTTGAGTCAATACTGACTCATAGCGACCCTATAGGTCAGAGGAGAACTGCCCCCATAGGTTTTCCAAGGCCCTGATGGCACTGCTGTCAGGTAAGCATTGGACTGTTAACCACTAGGTCGGTGGTTCAAACCCACCAGCTATTCTGAGGGAGAAAGATGAGGCTGTCAGCTCCTCTAAAGACTGGCAGCGTCAGAAGCCATATACAAGGTCGCCACAAGTCAGAATCAACTGGACAGCAGGGGGGTGGTTTGACTCTTCATGGGACGGAGCCCTGGTGGTGCAGGGGGTTAAGTGTTGGGCTGCTAACAGCAACACAAGGTCAGCAGTTCAAACACACCAGCCAACAGTTAGGCTTTTTCCTCCTATACAGAACTACAGCCTTCAACGTCTAGGGAACAGCTCCACCCTCTCCTGTAGGATCATGGAGTCAGAGTAGACCAGTGGTGAGGGGCTGGAGGCTCACTGTAATCTTTACCAGAGAACCCTGCCAGGGCTTCTCTCCAGTGGCTTTGAACCCTGGACCTTTCTGTTAGAGGGGGCCACTCACTTATCCATCGTGCCACCAGGCCACCTTCTAAGAATGCATGCACTGCTTCAAGTCCATTATGAATCATGTCCACCCTGCCCTTGATCTTGTGTATGCGGTTTATCCGAGGAGACGCACACGCCAGGTTTGTCTTCATTTTATGTCAGACCGTGTTATTGCTATTGTTTCTAAGTCTGCATGGGTGAAGCTTGGCAGTTTCCCCGAATGATGCCAGCCTGGGCTTGGGAGATGGGAGCAGTAGCCAGCCTCTCCTCTCCTCTAGGGAATCTACCTGCTGCTCAGCTCCGCTACTGTCTACACACACACACACACACACACAACACACACACACACACACACACACACACACACACACACACACACGAGTTCTACCCAAGTCACTTTCAAAGAGAGGCCAGACATTGGATTCTGTTCATGTTGGCGACCTGCTCAAGACGTAGGAAAAAGAGACCCAGCATTGCCAAGCAGAACATGGCTGCAGGCTCAGCTTCTGAGCTGGTGGGGAGAAAGGGCATGGGCTTGCGGGCTGACCCTCGGTGGGACTCGCTGGCTTCGAACGGCTCACCTTCATCAGAGTGGGTGGAGGGGACGGGGAGGGGTGAGCAGAGGGCAGGGGAGGGGCGTTGGTCTGTGAGCCCCCGTGGCATTACCATGAACAGGTCGAATTCTTCTTCACGCCGGGCAATCATCTGGTTCAACGTCTCATCGTCTGGGACCTCGTCTTCTTCCTGTGGCCAAGAACAGAAAGTGCCCAGGCTTAGAACAAAGGCTGGGCAATCGGAGGCCAGGGACTCCAGATCCCAGGGGGCACAGGCTGCTCAGCTAGGAAGGAAGAGGCGAGGGATACAAGGGATAACACTTGCTGTTCAAACTGTCCTGGTGGGCGGGGGGCACCCTGGTTCTCCCAAGTGCCTCCTGGAATCCTCACTTCTCAAACAAGCTCCCCAGCAGCCCCCGCCCCCATCAACAACCCCTTCTGCTCCATTGTGGGGGTGCAGGATTTAAAGGAGGACATTTACAGGAAGAGGGGCCCCTGCTGGAGGAGTGGTTCAAACCCACCAGTTGCTGTGTGGGAGACAGACGAGGCTGTCAGCTCCCATCAGGACTGACCATCTCGGAAACCCTCCCGGGCAGTTCTGCTCCGTCCGAGAGGGTGGCTCTGCACCGCGGTCGATGGCAGTCGGTTTGGGGTCACAGGGAAAGGAGCTTAATGTGGAGTCTGCTGTGTCCTTAAAAGTACCCCCCCAGTAGGTGCTTACTTCCCACACCTCGTGAGAAACCCAAGTGCACACGTGGCAAATGCACGGCCACTGCCTGCTGGACCCCAGCTCACGGTGCCCTGCTGCTGCCCGAGCCTGAACTCCACGGGGTTCAGTGGCTGGTTTTTCTGAAGCACGTCACCAGGCCTTTACTCCGCGGCACCTCCAAACTTGCGGCTAGGAGTGAATGCCTTAACCGCGGGTACTAGTGGGGTCGCCGTACAACCTTTAGCGCGCCTTGATGAATGTCTTTCTGGCAGGGAGCAGGGCGCTTGATTGCTAGTGACTGGGTCTGCAGATGGGACAGGAATCCGTACCCAAGAACCCATCGCACGACACTTGGTTAAAAATCATTTATACGACGAAGAGGAGACCGTTCCACCGGACTGAAAGTCTGCATTCTGGATGGTGTTGCACAAAGGCATACTCCCTCTAGGCGAGTAGTCCCTTCTAGCAGCAAAAGAAGGAGCCCAACACACACACACACACACACACACACATTTTCAAGTTCTCTATTCCTTTTCTTTAAAGAAACGTTATGCGCTGCGGTCCACGCTTCGCCGCAGAAGTGATTTCCCAGACTTATTCGCAGCACAGCCAGTGAGCATGCCCAAACTCAAGTGCGGGATGGCTGTGTGTGAGCACCGGGAGGGAAGAGGGAAGATGGAAAGTTATTGGTACACACGCCCAACTCCTCTGTTCAAAAGCAGGCCCCTTCCAGAGTGACCCAAGCCATGGCTCTGCGCATCCAGCAGCATCTCATAGAGGGACCGCTGGGCGTGGTCTGAGACCTCACATGCAGAGGACCTGGCCAGTGTCCTGAAGACTAGTCCTCTTTTGCCTCATCTGCTCCCCCCTCATCCTCTGTGTGTCTGTAGGGTGGGGGGCTTGCGCTTCCTTCCCAGTGGAGCCCAGGAGGGAGGATTCTCTTGCAGGCTGGAGAGCAGCCTGACCCCAGATGCCCAGGAAAGCTCCTGGGCTCCTCCTGATGCCCTGCGGAGATGGCCACCTGTCAAGCCCCGAACCTGCAGCAGCCCCTGTGAGTCCACATCGACCTGTGTCCTGCAGTGGGTGGCTCTCTCAGCAGCAGAGTGCCTGGCCTTTCTCAGAGCTGCGGCTGATGGACTTGAACCTCCGGCCTTGGATATCAGTTGAGTGTGTGAACCTGCTGCCCGACCCAGTGCTAGTGTGCTTAAGAGCCGTGGGCCCCCATCAGAAGCCAAAAGAGCAATGGAGGGGCGCAGGGGGCAGGGTGAAGACAGAAAAGACGAGAAGGGTGGTGGGTGGGCAGGGGGTGGTGGTGACCGCTTCCAGATTTGTCTGTAATTTTGATCTTGCGTGGGGCAGATCTGCAGCTCTCCTTCGGCTAGCAGGCACCAGTGAAGTCCCTGAGCCCTAAGACCTGAACTTCCCAGCCTGTCTCGGAAGCTCACGGAGGCAGTTCTACCCTGTCGCCGTGAGTCAGAATGGATCTGAATGGCGGTGAGCTTGGTGGTCCGTTTCTTTGCTGTTCGTGGCTGCCTCGACTCACAGCGACCCCTGGGGTGTCAGAGTGGGACTACACTGGGTTTTCTAGGTGGGGGAATGTATGTCATCTTTTCAGGAACAGATCACCAGGCCTTTCTGCATCAAACAGGCGGTGGGTTTGAACCACCAACCTTCCTGTTAGTGGCGGGGCACTTGAACCTCATGCTACTGGTGCTAGTGGCTTTTAAGATGCCGTTTGCCTTTCCTCCCGGAGTTTATCTGTTTGGAGGAGGAGCCTGCCCACCCACCCACCCAGGAAGTTCTGGGAAGAGCAAAGGGGTCCCTGCTGGCCCCTCAGGGGGCAGCGGTCAGGGGCGTCCCGGCCTGCCCTCACCTCGTTTTCCTCCTCATGCTCCAGGATGGCCTGCAGGAAGGCCCGCCGCTCGTGGCTCGAGGACTTCTGGTCGAACATGCCGGCCTGGATCACCTTCTGGTCTACGTTGAGCTTGTACTTGGCGGCGGCCAAGATCTTCTCCTCCACGCTGTTGACCGTGCAGAGGCGGAGCACACGCACTTCATTCTGCTGCCCGATGCGGTGCGCGCGGTCCTGCGCCTGCAGGTCCTGCAGGGTGGGCAGCAGGCGTGAGGGCCGGCCGGACTAGCCAGCCTCAGAAGACGCACGGGGTCTGGGTGGGCAGACCTTAGCTGTCGGTCATGCAGCAGGGCCGGGACCAGAGGAAAGGGCATCGTGTGGGATTACATAGTTAAAAGAAAGACAGGGCGTGCTACTGCTGGCAAGAGTGACCGTCTCAGACCCCCACGGGGCAGTTCTACCCGGGGTCGCTGTGAGTGGGCACAGGCTCAAGGGCGGTATGATTTCAGCTTTGGCATGTGATGGCTGGAACTCCAGCTGGTACTGACAGCTTCGTGGGCCTCATTCGGTCACGGGCCGGGCATTCCCCACCCCTGCTGGGAATCTTTGTGGGAGCAGACGGCCTCCTCTTTCTCCCGGACAGTGCAGAGGCCACGGGCCCCAGGACCACGAGTCACAGGGTGGATGGGACCGTGGGGTGAGACACTCCGTACATGGAGGGCCCCCCGGCGAGCTCTGACTGAAGTTCACTGTTGCTGCTGGGGTGTGTCCTGCTCCCCCCGCCCCCACGTGGACTCTGTGGAATGGTCACCCCAGGAGATGGGGCAAAAAACGAGGCATACTGGGGGCCTTTCTACCCACAGTTTATGCATGTGGGGCATGCCATCATCTACATGTCCAGGAGAGTGGGGGGCAGAGAGCAGCCATGCCCACTGGCTGGTCTTCATGGGGCCACCTGCTGGCCTGCTCACTGACCAGTTGGTGGTTGGTTCTAACCACCAGAGAAAGGTCCAAACTCCTGCTTGCTCATCGATGACAGCAAAGAAGAGCCCCTGTGGGGCAGTCCTGCTGTCACTCGGGATTGTCCTGAGTTAGAATCCACCTGCTGCACCCCCCAAAACAATGATGACATCCCACCCCTGGGAGGAGACGCCCCCCAACCCCCCAGTTTGGAAATGCCCTCTGCCTCGCAGAAAGGGGAGGCGCTGCAGGAGGGAGGTGTGCGGACCTGGTGGGGGTTCCAGTCGCTGTCAAAGATGACCACCGTGTCGGCCGCCTGGAGGTTGAGGCCCAGGCCCCCGGCCCGGGTGCTCAGCAGGAAGATGAAGTACTGTGAGCCCGGCTCGTTGAATTTCTTCAGCAGCGCCGCGCGGTCCTCGGACTTGGTGGTGCCTGCGGGGAGAAGGCGGGGATGGTTGGCAGGTTGCTCCTGCCTGCCTGCGAATGGCGCCGAGCTGTGCCAAAGCGCCGTGCTCCTGGCCAAAGCATTTCAGAGGCTTCTTGACAGCACCCTGGGGCCGGCGCTTTGGAGAGAAGCGTGGAACATTGTGCAATGAGAGAGACAGACAGACTGAAGCAGGGATGGAAGGAGAGACCTTGTCTATGACCCATGCTCACACATGCTAGAGCATTCTTTCAAACACTCACTGCCCTGGACACACAGGGCACTGCCCCCAAGCCCATTAGCACATGAACCTCAATGACGACAGGCGGGGGTGGGTGGGGGATGACTGTCCACTGAGCTTCTCTGGCCAGGCACAGAAGCCCAGGCTCCCTAACAGCAAGGCGGCGAGATTTCTTGCACGGAAGTACAGCTCGCTCGCTGCCCTCCACAAGGCCCATGGTCGCCTATCCACGCGCACACCCTTCCCTTTTCCTCCGCCCGCCCCCACGGTGTTCACACGGCGCCAGCCATTCTTTGCTGAAGCCAATGTGTCAAGTGCTGATTTGGGGCGGGGTGGGGGATGGAAATCGCTTGATGAACGCTCAGCCAGTTTTCTCCTTGCAAAGATTCCAGCTGCAGGAGCAGATGCCGCTGCCGCCATCCGGAGACGGCTAATCTGTGCTTTCCCTGGGAATGGCTGGGGAGTGAGAAGTGAGGGCCGCTCAGGAAATGCCCACGCCCACCTCTGTGCTGACACATCTGTTTCTCTGCCCCCTCCACACGCCTCCCCACCCCACCTGAAGCTGGGAGTTTGACTTGTTCTGCCCACCCCCTCCCCCCAGCACCAGGACCCTGCAGGTACTCAATCCAACAGCCAACCCCCGCTGTCAAGGTGATTCCACCCCACGGTGACCCTGTGGGACCGTGCACAATGGTTCCCGAGGGTCCTGAGCCCCTCAGTCTTTAAGGGAGCAGCTGCATGTTCCTCCTGAAGAACGCACGGTGGGTTGAAATCACAGACCTCGGGACTAGCTGCCCGACCCCAAACCTACTCTGCTGCCAGCACGCCGTACTCTGTTGTCTCTGGTGCCTGGTGATTTCCATCATTTTCAGTGATGAAAAACATCCCACAGGACAAGGTTCAACACCACCCTTCCGCTGCTGCCACTGTAGAGCAGTCTGCCCTTGGGGCGATGGGGCAGATTTCAGATTGCTAAACTGGCTGCCTTGCTCAGAGCCCGGCTCACTGCTCACCCAGCCAGGAGCCTTTGGCAAGGTAAGCACTGCTGTCGTCAGGCACCGTCCAGATGGCTCAACTCATAGCGACATACGCACAAGGGAAGGAGACACTGCCCACTTCTGCACCAGCCTCTCAGTTGTTCCTGTGCTTAAGCCCATCGCTGCAGCCTCTGTGTCCATCCATCTCATCAAGCACCCTCCTTTTTCTCACCGACCCTCCACTGGGCCACCCACGATGTCCTTCTCCAGGGACTGGTCTCTCCTGACAGGTCCCACGTATGTCGCCCACGACGTCTTGCCGTGCCCACTTCTGGGGAGTGTCCTGGGCAAGTCAACTCCTCTCACTAGAGCTCTGCTTTCTCATCTGTTGACTGGGCACCTGCTACGTTCCCCTAGGTCTGCTGAACGTCCTGACCCAGGATCTACAGGCACGACCCCATCAGGAGAGTGGGTGCTTCTTTGCCATGTGAACGTGGTTGGGTTCTCACAGGTCGTTCTGACACCTGGTCACGTGTGAGGGGCGGCTTGTCATGGGAGCAGAAGACACACAGATGCACACTTACATACACACCCCAGGAGCAAGACGGACACCAGGAAGTATCCACCGCGACTCACAGGAAGGTCCGTCCCCTGGAGCCACCACCTGGATTTGAACTAAACTGTCTAACCTCTAAAACGGCAAGACAAGAAATGCCTGTGCTCGAAGCCTCCCACCTATGGTGTTCTTTGTCGGGCAGCCCAGGGCCAAGGTGGGGCCGGGGATAATGGGGAAATGAGACTAAATGCACAGGAAGTGCTTCGTCATGAACCCCACTGGGTTCTAGCATCCCATCAACGTCAGGTCTTACTACTGCTCCCAACCAAGCCAAACTGACCACTATGAGTCGATGCAGACTCATGGCTACACCTCTGGACAGGCCAGAAAGACCCCTGTGGGGTTCTGAGACTGTAGCTTTTTACGGGAGCACAAAGCCCCGTTTCTCTCTTGGGGAGCGGCTGGCGGTTTTGAACTGCTGACCTTGTGGATCACAGCCCAATGCATAACCTCTACGCCACTCGGGCCCCTCTTTGTTGAGGGGGCAGTCCATGGCAGAGAGCCCCTCGGGCTGGAAGAGGCTGAAGAGGTCGGCTCCCAGGAGTCTTGCCAGCTGCAGAGCCAGGGAGGTTCTGAGCCGAGATCCTCTGATCGCTGAGGGAGGTCCATCCTGGAGCCCCTCTGAGCAGTGGGCAGCGCTTGTCTGAGGCGCCCAGGGGAGGCCGTGCAGCCAGGGAAGGTGGTCCCCACCACCCCTCAGGCTGGCAATGCCAACCCTGCGCGCCCGTTGTGGCTGCCGACTGAGAGGCTGGCGGTTCAAGTCTGCCCAGCGCACCACGGAAGAAAGGCCTGTGCCCTCAGGCACACAGGTGTGGCGGCACTGAGTGGGGTCGGCGGGAAGGCGCGAGGCTTGCTTCCTGGGCCATCGTCTCTCCCGTGAGCAGAGAGAAGGTCCAAATGTCGGCGAGGGAAGGATTCTCTGCAGGCTGGGGAGCAAGAAGAGAGGCTAGGTCTTGCTTCGGGGAACTGGGAGGTACCTGAAAATTCAGCACCAGGATGCAGATGACCCCTCACAGGGGCTCAGTTCTTCCCCAGGGGGCAGTGGGGGTGGGGGGCAGGGTTTAAGATCAGCAAGTCTATGAAAGAAGACATCGCCTTGGGGAGGTTGGCCAGAGCGTGAGCCCACCCAGGGATCCCTGGAGGGGACTCTGGGCCAGCCTGGGTGGCAACAGGACCACTTAATGACTGTTTACCAGCCCCACCGAGCCTGGCATGAAAGGGACCTCGAGATCGTTCTAACATCCCAGAAATTCTCAGAAAATAATGGCTATTTTGGATTTAGTGAAGCTTGTGACAGGCAGGGGGGAAAAAATCCCCCCCCCCCCATGGTTTTACTGTGACTATAGACTATAAATACCTATTATATCTATCACAGGGAATTATAGGTAATTATATCTAATTATAGATAACTCGGAAGGAAGGCCTATCGGATCATACTTAATTAGTGGCAACAAAGACGCAAGGCGTCACGCTGAAAATAAGACAAACCCTTTGAGCGAGGCCCGGCCTCTGACTGTCCCACAGAACCACTGCGTCTGGAGCCGCTGCCCAGCCAATCCGAGGTGGGCTTTTTCTCATCAGTTATCAAAGCTGCTGCCGCCGAGTGGCATGGGTGTCACGGATGTCAGAAGGGAACCATGCCAGGCTGCTGGTCAGCTTGACCACATCTGACTGCCCCCCCCACCCCCCGCGCGCCCCAGCTTTGGTAGGGAGGACTGGGATCCAGGGCAGGGTCCGACAGGCCTCCACTCTCCATGCTCCAGATTCTGGCCCACGTCCCTCCCAGGCACTCCACTTTCCAGCCGGGTTTGACAATTGCAACAGTGAGCTTGCAGACAACACCCGCAGTTATGGGGGCTGATTGGGGAGGTTAGCAGGCTACAAGCCAGGATCGGAAAGCACTGAGGGCACTAAGTCATCGGTTCACAGCAGCGCCCTCCTCCGCCTGGTCTCCCCCCGTCCTCAGCTGCTGGGCCACAGGTCTTTGACTTCTGCCTCCCTGTGTGTCCACCAGCCGCTCTGCCTTGCTTCTCCCAGACTCGGGAGTGTAGCCCCTCTGTGCTGGCTCAACCTGGCTTCTCTGCTCTGTCTCCGGGTCTCCTTGCCTCGGCTTCTGGTCCCTCCGGCCTCGGCCTCCACCACTTCAGACATCTTGAACTGGCTGCCCTGGCGGCTCCTCTCCAGGCGGCCCTGGGACATCCCCCTCCTCCTGCAGAGAGGGCTCATACTTCTAGCCAGGACAGGGGCACCTGAAACTGACTGATCCCCTGTGAGTGTTCCAAGCCTGAGTTGCAAGGTCCCACCCAATCATCTGGTCGGACGGAGTTCCAGAGACATGGAAGTGATTGCGGGCAAGTACCACGGAGTTGGTTCCGACCCACAGCGCCCCCTAGTGCAACAAAAGGAAATGCTGCCTGGACCTGGACCATCCTCACAGCTGTCCTTACATTTGAGGCCACGGTTGCAGCCCCTCTTGTTGGGAGCCTCTGATAAGGGTGAGGTTTTTGGCACCCACATCCTCCAACACCCAGAGAGGAGAGTCATTTGAAGACATCTCCCCCACCATCTCTTTATAGGCCTTTCCTCCCAGCATGGACACCCCCCCTGAATCCTGTATTTGAAATACTGGTGGCCCTGCGTCCAGCATCACAGCAAAACGAGAGCCACAAATCCACAGGTGGTTGTGGGCCCTGTTGCCCAGGTATCACTCAGGGCCGCCGAGTCGATGCCGACTCACGGGACAGGGCAGAACTGCCCCTGTGGGTTTCCAAGACGGTCACTCTGTGTCAGAGTGGAAAGCCTCACCTTTCTCCCGCACAGCAGCTGGCGGCTTCAGACTGTGGACCTCGCAGTTAGTGGCCCAACACATAGCCACTCCCCTGTCAGGCGTCCTGACTATTTACAGAGACCCTCTGTGAGATCTTGAACGGAACATGGACACAAACGCATCATCTGGATGGGGGAGACCCCCGCGCGCGGGGCCACACTGGAGTCTCGGAGCCGCGCTTCTTACCCAGCGACTGAACACATTCAGGGAGTAAGTCCGGCCCTTCTCACGTCCCCCTCCCTATCCGCTGGTGTGCTGTGGGCTGCACACGGGGCTGCTAACCTCAAGGTGGGAGTTCAAGCCCACCAGCCACTCGTTGGGAGGAAGATGGGGCAGTCGGCTCTTGGGAAGATTTATAGACTCGGAAGCCGCACAGAGGGTTTGTTCGGAATCAGAATGGGCTTGGTGGCAGTGGGTTTGGCCGGCATCACTCCTCTCTGAAATGTACTGGCTGGCCTCCAAATTAAACAAGAAAAGAAAAAAGATGACAACTCAGGAAGAAACCATCACCTTCTCCTCCAAAAGATTACTGGCTGCACACTAATGCAAAGCAGTTTAACTCCTTCCCCTTAAAAAACAGCCAGCATTTGGCATCGTTTGCAAACCTTGACAGTCTCATCTCTGAAGAATGGAACGTGTGGAAACGCGTCCTACTTAGGGCCACGGAAGCGTCCGTGGTGATTAAACGCAACCTGAAGTGAACGATCACACTGTGACTGGAGGCGGGGGCACCGCCTGTCCCTGCCACACACACTGTAAAAGGAAAGCCGGAGGCTTGGCTTGGGCAAACCATCCCTACAGAGTTACCCTCAGAGATGGCAGGGCGTTTCGATTCTTGTTTAAGTTTAGTTTTCGAGGCCACCCGTTTGAAACCACCAGCTGCTCCTTGGGAGAAAGATGAGGCTTTTTCTACTCTCGCCGAAGAGTTCCAGGGCTGGAAACCCAAAGGGGAAGCTCTATGCTGTCCTTTGGAGGTGCGACGGTCGGAATTGACTCGATGGCAGTGAGCCTGTTTTGTTTGCTTAGTTTTAGCGCAGACAAGCCGGGACAGTGTGTGGTGCATGTTAGATCAGCAAAATGAAAGACGCAACACACCAAATCTGCTTGCTGCCTTTCGAGTTGATTCTGACTCACAGCAACCCGATGGAGCAGAAGAAAACCGCTCCCGGGGGTTCCTGAGGCTCTCCGAGGAGCTGTGGCAGAGGAGCTGGGACAGGTTGGGCTGCTGACTTCAAGGTCAGCAGTTCAAAACTACCAGACACACCGTAGGTGAAAGATGCGGCTTTCTACTCCACTAAGGGGTTACAGTCTCGTAACCTCGCAGGGGCAGTTCTACCCGGTCCTGGAGCCCCTAGGAATCAGAACCGACTCGCCAGCAGTGCGTTTGTCGGCAATGCCATCTTTACAGGAGCAGACAGCCTCTGCTTTCTCCCGTGGAGCGGCTGGTGGGGTCAGACCCCCGGCCTTGTGGCTAGCAGCTCCGCGTTGAACCTGCTTGGCATCTGGGCTCCTACATTAAACCGCTGGGCAGACCACGGTCACGGAGGATTACTGTTACTTTGAGCCAGAGGTTGTCAGGGGAGGAAGCGTACGTGCCCGCCCTGTGACTGGGAGCCCCAGTGGCTCACTGGTTAGGGCTCTCAGTGGCCCAGCTAGAGCCTGGCAGTGCACAGCCACCAGCAGTGGCACAGGAAGGACCTGACTGTCTGCTCCCCCAGAGACCAGAGCCGGGGGAACCCTGTGGGCAGTTCTCTCTGTCCCCTGGGGTCACTGTGTGATTCAGTGCACCAGTCGTGCCCACCAACCCTGCTACTAACTCTTCACCAATCCCGGCCCAAGCCTGGGCCAAGGAGCCCTCCCCCTCCCCTTCAACCACACGCTCACCGTCGAGGCGCAGGTAGAGAAAGTTCCGGAAAGCGAAGTAGTCCTCCATGATGGTCATGAGGGACGTCATCTGGCAGAAGAGCAGCACCCGGTGGCTGGTTGCCCTCAGCTTGGGCAGAATGCGGTCCAGCAGCTCGAACTTCCCCGAGGCCCGGTACAGCTCCGCCCTGCGGGCACCGAGGCAAGACCAGGTGTCAGGGTCGCTGCGAGGATCCAGGGTCGCCTCGCTGCCCACCCGGCGCCTTGCCCGGAGCCCACACTGAATGGACGACCGTGGGCCGAACCGAGGGAAGGGAGGGCGGGTATTACTGTGAACAGAGGACCCGCTCATCCGAGACTAAGAAAGAACGCACTGCCCAGGCAAGACTGGGCCATGGACAGGAGAGAAGGACAGAGACCCTGTCAGGACCCCAAACACACACACACACACACACACACGCACACACACACTCATACACACACGCACACTTACATACACACGCGCGCACGCACACTCACACTCTCACTCACACACACACTCACACACTTCTTTACATCCTTGGTAAATCCCTTTCTCGATTTAGGGCCCTCCAGATGGTGCTGAGTGGAGCCCTAGGGGCATATGCCTTGGGCTGCTAACTGCAAGGTCAGCAGTTCGAAACCACCAGCCACTCTGAGGGAGAAAGACGAGGCTTTCTGCTCTTGTGAAGAGCTACCATTTTGGAAAGATCCACGGACAGTTATACCATGTCCCATAGGGTCGCTGTGCCCCGGAATGGACTTGATTGGCCCTGACCACTACAGCAACAGCAACAGCCGTAAGATTCTTAGCCTGCTCCTAAAGGCAAGCACAACTCCACAAAGGGGTCAGCGCAGATGGTGACCAGGGCTGGACGGAAGGACAACGAACCACTAGATGAGAGGGGACATCAGGTGCGCTGTCTTGCATGAGAACAAAGAGGACTCACTTCCTGCTTTTGTCACTAGAGGCTCAATGGGATGGACTTCAGCATGCTGACCACAGAGCTGAGCAGCTCAGGTGGAGAACGTTGGCCTGAAAAACTCATTCTCTGGGCCTTTTCAGGAACAGGCCTCTATTCCAAGGCACCTGGGGGAGTTTGAACTACTGACTTTCTGGTTAACAGCCAAGTAGGTAACCATTGGAGCCACCTAGGCCCTATGTTTTGGAGAAAAACAAACATAAAGACCTACCCATTGATGACTCCGTTTGAATAGCCCAGGTGCTCGGCAAAGGATTCCTGTAGAGAGAGAGGAGGGGAGGAACAGTGAGAAACAGATGCGCTCCATAATGAGGATTCTCATCCCACTTATTCATCTAGCTATGAATTAAAGTGGGTTTACCCTATGATGGTCAGAACAAAATGAGAAATACATAAACAAAATACTCGGTTATAGAATGAACCCCTAACTAGCTCTTGTCCGTCTGTGTGTCCTCCTGTGGTGGCTTGCATGTTCCCGTGATGCCGGAAGCGATGTCACTGGTATTTCAAATGCCAGCAGGGTCCCCCAAAGTGAACCGGTGTCAGCGGAGCCTCCGGACTAAGAAGAGACAGTGAAGAAGGACTCCGCTCCCCACTCTGGAGGAAGAAGCTCGGCAAAGCTTGTGCAGAGCCTCAGAGCACAGTCAGATTCTGATGGCCCGCAGAGGGAAGCAGAACAGTGTTGGCGATACTGCCGGGGGCTGGGCCCCTCAGGTCCAAGGAACGGTGCCGGGGAGGAGCCGATTTCTCAGAGTGGAGTCCACACGGGTGATGTGAGTCAGGTAAAGCCTGGTGCCATGAAGCCTCTGGGAGCTTCCCGGGGCACTCCTCGTGGTCAGGAGAAATGGCGCAGAAGGGCAGCGAGGAGGAAGGCCCTCAGCCTGACGGACCGCGCTGTGACTGCACCAGCACGCTCAGGCACAGGGACGATTGTGCGGATGGCGCAGGGCTGGCCGGTGTTGCCCCCTGTTGGGCACAGTCACTTGGCTCTGAGCCAACTCAGCGGCACCCACCGACAGCTTTGCCTTCAGACTCCGCCTCGTGAGAAACGGACCGTGAGCTGCATGAAGTCGCTAGACCCTGGGCCTCGGACACTGGTCCGGTTGGTGCATTAAAACATCCACAGGCAGCCGTGGGCCCCAAGGCCCAGCCGAAAGCTGAAGACTCAAGGGGGGGGAGAAAGGCTAGCCAGGAGGCACCAGGATTTTTTTATTCCTTCTCTCCCATGACCATGCACCTGCTCATCCTTACAGGGTATGAGGCCTGGCCTATGAAGAGGTTGCTGGGAAACCTGATCCCATCCGCCTCTTTGGCCCCGCTTCTGCCTTCTAGGGCTTCCTTTGGCTCACCACACTGGGGGCGCATTTAAAGGGGCCCGGGCTGAGTCCCGGGAGGCTGCTGCCACTGCAGGGGTGTCACAGGAGGAGGGCAGATGCCTCCAGGTGGGGGGGAGATGCGAGCACCCCTTCAGAAGTGCAAGGACCCAGATGGAGGCTATGCCCAGCAACAAGGGCTCCCCGTCTTGATGTTTTTATTCAATCAGCGTTTCTGTGATTTTGTAGCAATGCCCTTTGGCGTCGTACCCTCTTGGACCTCGCACAACAGAATGACGTAGGGTCTGGCAGTGGTGAGGAAGCTTCTCACAGAGCACTACTCCAACCTTTTTTTTTAAACACGCTGTGACCATTGGGAGTCCTTGGGGTGTCATGGTTACAAGTGGGGCTGCAATCCCAAAGGTCGGCAGTTTGAAACCACCCGCCGCTCCTCGGGAGAAAGATGAGGCTATCTATGCCTGTAGAGCAGTAGATCTCCACCTTCCTAATGCCGCGACCCTCTCATACAGTTCCTCATGCTGCGGTGACCCCCAATCATAAGATTATTTTCGTTGCTACTTCATCTCTGTCATTTTGCTACTGTTATGAATCAGGTGACCCCTGTGAAAGGGTCGTTCGACCCCAAAGGGGTCGCGACCTACAGGTGGAGAACTGCTGCTGTAGAGAGTTACAGCCTCGGGAGGCCACAGGGGCAGGTCTGCCCTGTCCTGTAGGGTCACCGTGGGTCAGAATGGCCTGCAGGGCAGTGCTTATTTCTAAGGAAGCTGCTCATGTGCCTGTGTCTGTCTTCAGTGTCGGGGGGCCCTGCTGTCACCAGGCCATCCATCACTCTCCACGACGTCCCCACGCCGTGCCACTCTGCAAGCTCCAGTGGGAACTCTGATGACACAGGATGGGACGGGGCCACGGTGGCCTTGCTCTGAACCTTCGGCTTTCTGGGCTTTGAGCTAGTGAGACATGGACATCCCTTGTCCCCAAGAGCGCCGGCGCCTGCTTGGTGGTCTACATGCCCACTGGAGAGGGGTCCTTGAAGGAGAAGGCAGAGCACAGGCCTGTGGGGGTGGGCCTTGCTGTCTGCAGGCCTGATGGCTCTCCCAGGCTGACTTTCTCATGCAGATGGACCCGCCTTCCCAGGTGTGTCCTCATGCTCCAATCATGCAAAGAAACGCTCCCTCTGCACACACCCCCCACCAAAAAAAAAAAGGGGTGCTGCTTCAGACCCAGGCGGGGCAGCCTGGCCCTGTCCTGCAGGGTGGTGTGTGTGGGCGTCGCCTGCCTGGCAGAGTGGGGGGCGCTGGGGGCACAGACTCACCTCGATGTGTTGGAACATGTACGGGTGGTTGCAGATCTTCCTCAGCTGCATGATGGTGTTCATGAGGGTCTTGGCGCCCCCTTTCCCCTGAGGGCGAGAAGCAGGGGAGACTGAGGGCTTACTCATGCTGGGGTGCACAGGGCCGGTAGGGGCCTGGCCCTTCTGGCAGACACTCCCACCGGTGTCCCCAAGCTCCTGTTCTCAGCAGCAGGCTCCAGGGATGACTGCGTCCCTCTATAACCAAGGCCTGATGGGACGGTGTGTAATGGACTACGTAGGGCCATAGCTATCCCTTCCTGGGGCTCGGGGGAGACTCTGGACATTGGAGCAGACACCCAGGGAGTGAGAGGGGGTCTGGCGACGTTGTTGGTGCCACCCGGCACTGTCCAGGTAGAAAACTATTTTTGTGGACGAGAAGTGGCATTTTGGGTCTCCCCGGGCCCCTGGCCAGTGTGTGGAGAAGAGGCCCCAGCTCGCCGGTGTTTTGTGGATTTCCAAGGCAGCAGCAGGAGCACCTGGACCAGGGGATGGTCAGTTGGGTGGCCTTGAGGTGCAGCACCTGGCCCTTCCTCCCACCCCTTCCCTACCTTCTTATCTTTCTCAGACCCGTCCGTGAGCAGGATGCCCTTGGCCTGCATGTGACGGTACAGGATCTTCTGCAGGGCTGACATGTCGCACTTGATCACGTACTCCACCTGTCAGGGAGAGGCCAGAGCACAGGTGAGGGCAGGGGGGAGGACCTACGCCCCCTCCTCTGGCTTCAGGCTCTCGGCTGGAAGAAAGCAAGGGTGTTCCTGGAGCCTGGGCCCCTTCCTGGGTCCACAGGCTGGGGGCACTTTGAACCCCAGGATTAAAGGTGTGCCACCTGGGTGGCAGAGTGGTTACTCATTGAGCTGGTCACTGCCAGGTTGGCAGGGGAGCCACCAGCTGCTCCATGGGAGAAAGACTCGGCCAGTATTTCACGTGCCGGGAGGGTCACGCATGGAGGACAGGCTTTAGGAGTCCTTCCAGACTAAGACCAGGAAGGAAGGCCTGGCCATGGACTCCTGGAGAACTTGCTGACGGAAACCGACAGGACACGAGGAACCCTGGTCCCACTGGCCTTCTGGAGGGGACCCGTGCCTGGAGGAGGAATGGCCTTTGGTATTTGCCCGGCCAGCGAGGGCCAGGAAGGCCCTGGTTGAAAGGGGCCACACTGGCCGCACAGGTGGCTCAGCAACCTGTTGACCATGGCTGAGCGACCTTCCAGCTCCTGGTCCATGAGGTGGCTGTGCCTCAGAGGCCACTTGAGGGCAGTTCTTTACCTACCTGGTAGAGGTATGGTCACGCCGACCCCGGGACCTGTAGTGGGTGTGTGTGACTGGGACTTGGGCCGAGTTTCCCGAAATGTCCTGACTTGTTTGTGTTTGGGAGAGCGCGGCCTTCACTCAGTGGGAAGGAGGCCAGCTCAGGGCCTCCTGGGGGCTCCTTCTGCTTCCCACCGAGCCCCCTTCTGCCAGAGGGGCAGAAGCAGTGGTGGCCGGCTAAGAGCCTGTGAGTTTCTTGGTGATTTTTCTTGCTTCAGTACCCGAGTGGTGTAGCGGTTATGCATTGGGCGGCTTATCCACAAGGTCAACAGTTCAAAGTCAGCAGTGGCTCCACCAGAGAAAGAGGAGGCTTTCTGCTCCCATAAAGAATGGGTTATCGTTCTCAGGTCCGTCCATGAGCAGGATGCCCTTGGCCTCTCGGAAACCCACAGGGAGTTCCACCCTGCCCAGCAGGGTCAGTGAGTCGGAAAGAACTCGAGGGCAATACCAGCCCCCAACAGCTCTTGGCGTGCCCAGCCCTGGCCTCCGTGTAGGAAGGTGACCTGCTCAAGCCGACAGGCTGGGGGCAGAAAGGGACCCAGCACCGGGATGACTGCCCGACCATCCCAGGAGAACGGGCCTCCAGCAGCGCCCATTGGAGTGCTGCGGAGATGTGTGTGTGACAGTGAGAGGTCCTCACCGGCCACGGGCTATGCCACTCCTGCCACTCTCCCACGGGCACCGGGCCACGGGCAGCGGCTGTGGCTGCTCTTCTTTATCAAAACGACCTGGGACTCCCAACAGGCCGTCACCCACGGTAGACGGTGCCTCCGAGTCCAGAGAGGGGAGCAAAGCCCATCAGCAGGCGGATGCGTAATCAGCCGATGAAAAAACCTACCAGGCTCTTTTCAGCGCCGAGGGTGATGGTGAGGGCGAGGGGGTGGGGGGTGGGGTCACAGGCCAGGAGAAGCTGACTACTCATCTGCATGGAGCTCTGAGTTGGAGGCCACCTGCCAGGCCACCTGCGGCCACGACTAACTTACTCCTGTCCCTGGTCCCGAGGCCGCGGAGCAGGGGGAGAAAGGGCCTGTCTTTGGCAGGGGACCCCCTAGCAAGGTGTTTTAGGGTCCAGTACCCGTTCTTGGCCAGGGAGGGACCGGAACACAATCTCCCGTGCTCGATCAAGAGGGGACTTCAGACAGGTTCCCTGCGTCAGATCATCTCGTTGGGTGGTATTTTCAAAGCATGGCTGATTTTGCCCGAGCATGAATGCTTCGGGAATCTCATCATGGGCAAGAGAAGCTGCTAAGAGCAAGTCCAGGTTTCAAGAAACACAGGGACCCAACGGACAAGGTGATATAGATTGAATACGAGGCTCTTCAGAAAGTCCATGGACGTGGGCATGATGGGGAAAAAACCAAACAGACAAACCTGCATGGAGCTCAAAAACTTTTTTTTGTTGTCGCACCCAAACAAACGGGCACAGTCTTGTTACAACCACACGTCTGGGCAGGACGGGTTTGAGCTGCTGAGAAGGAGCAGCCATGAGTTGGCAAACAGGCCCCGTCAGAGAAACCTGAATTCTGTCGAAATCGCGGCGAGAGAATGAGCATCACCTTTATGATGAAGCTTGGGTGGGCGAACGGTGCCATCGCTGATGCTGTAGGAAAAGTGGGGGGTGGGCAACACCCCCAAAGCAAGCAGCAGGGGGGAAATGGACAGCAGTTTGAAGAAGGCAAGGGGTGAGGCTGCAGATGAAGCCCTCAGGGGTGGGCTGCTAACCTCAAGGTCAGCAGCGTGAAACCGCCAGCTGCTCCTCGGGGTGAGGCGTGGCTTTGAGCTCCAAGAAAGCGTCGCAGGCTTGGGGACCCACCGCCACAGAGGGGCAGTTCTGCCGTCCTGCAGGGCTGCTGTGAGTCGGAATGGCCTAGGTGACAGGGAGCGTCAGTCAATATCAGACGCAGGTTGCCAGGCCTTTCCTCCTGGTCTTCGCGGGGCAAGTTCCCCTGACATCAACCTTCCAGTATAAGAAATACTGCATGCCCGGAATCAAGCCATCCCGGGGAGAGAAATGGAAAGACGGCCGTGGTGGGAGATGTCAGTTAAAGACCAGGAAAGCTGGGCTTCCTATTTTTAAGAGCAGAGCCCGTGGGAGTGGAAGCCCTGATGCGTTCGTCCGTAGGCCAGGGGAGTCTCTGCCAATGTGTGTGCCTGGCTGCCCTGCCCAGATAGGTCAAGGCCTTGGCCGCCCCTTCTGACGGAAGCCCCAAACCCTCTTGGCTTGTTTGGCGAGTTTTTGCTCGGACCCACAATGCACACGCAGGGAAGCAGCTGTCCAGAAAGCGAGTGTGTATTGGACTGAGCGAACCTGCAAATCCACTGCCATCGGGTTCATTCCTGATCCTGTAGGGAGGGACTTCCCCTGCGGGTTTCCAAGGCTGTCTGTCTTCGCAGAGGGGGATGGGACGCCTCAGCTCTTTCCCATGGTGGCTTCTAATGGCTAGCCTTGTGGCTAGCTGGCCTACTGGTGACCTGCTAGAGACCAGGGCTTCTTCACTTGCTGCATGAGACCCCTTTCAAGTGTTGAAGGGCAGAGGATGTCGGACTGGGGACTTGGTGCGGTGACTCGGCCGTGGGATTGTCCACCGCCTCCTGCGCCTGTGAAAGCGGGCCATCGAAGAAGGAGGACGGAGGACGAGTGGGTGCACGGCAGTCATGGTGTTGATCCGGAAGAACGTGGAGTCCCCCCATCTGTCTTGGAGAAAGGACGAGCAGAACGCTCCTTCGGAACACTGAACCGAACCGAACCAAAGCCTCAAGCCAGCAAGTTGTCCCAAGAACTGAGGGCCCACATGAGCCACAGCCTCCGGAGACCACAAGAGCTGGATAGGACTGACTGCTCTGACCGGAGACACGCCGGAAGGTCCTGGTTGGGCCGGGTGAACAAAAACGGAACCAAGCCAGAACCAAGCACGAAGCAGAACAAAACAAGGCGGAAGGAAACACAGAACAAACTTCCAGGCAAGAGACAGAAAAGAGCCGGGCTAGACCTGCTTGGTCCGAAAGAGCGGGAGGAACGTTTGGGAAAACCTTCTGGCTTGCACCTTTGCCACTGGCGACCCGTCCAGAGGCTACCTCGCGGCTAAGCCCCATGGGACTCTTGAAAGGACCAGAAGGGCTCCTCAGACCCACCACCCCAACAATAGGGCGAGTGTGCCCTGAACCACAGATGAGAAGACAGGGCGGGGCAGCACCCTGCACTGAGTTGGGGAGCCCAGGAGGAAGCTGGGAGACGGCCGGCACACTGTGGGGGTGGCAACCTGTGATGCAGGGCCCTCGGTGCAGGAACCAGTGATGGAAAGACCACTTTGCTCTGGAAACGCTCACCAAAGGCACAATATGAAACGTGTCTTGAAAAGAGAAAACGGAGAAGTCCATGCCAGCCACAGATGAAAATATAAATACCCGCCCCTCCCCCCCAACCAAATAAAAACTCCCCTAGGAAGTGCAGTTCTACTCTGACCCGCCTGGGGTCACCATGAGCCCAGCAGCAACAGGTGCTGCTTGGTCTGACCACCCTTCAAAGGGCCCGGGAAAGTTCCCATGGAGACAGGGGTACATATTTGATCAAAGGCGCGAATTCCTCTGTAATGGGGCCGATGACCCCCATGGCACCAACTCACAACGACCCTATAGGACAGGGTAGAACTGCCCCCGTGGGTTTCCGAGACTGTAACTCTCTATGGGGACAGAAAGCCTCTTCATTCTCTCGAGGAGTGGCTGGTGGTTTAGAACTGCCGACCTTGTGGTAAGTAACTCACTATGCTATCAGCAATGATAAGTAGACCATGAGTTGTAACAGAAGCAGGCAGCCTCATTGTTCTCCCAAGGAGCAGCTGGTGGGCTTGAACCGATGACCTTACCGTTAGCAGAAAGCCTCATCTTTCTCCTGAGGATTAGCTGGTGGCTTCGAACCTCTGACCTTGTGGTTAACAGTCCACCTTGCAACCCACTACACCACCAGGGCTCCTTACAAAGGTAAGTACAGGTATTCTGCCCAGTCAGTGGATACACAACACAACTCAACAGTCGCCCCCCGCCCCCCAGCCCGAAGGGGCAATGTACCTTTTCTGGAAGCTGGGACTCCACTTCCTTCTTCAGCCTCCTCAGTAAAAAGGGTCTTAGCACCTTGTGCAGACGCCTGATGATTAGAATCGTCTCCTCCTCGTTCAAGTCCACCTACAAGACAGCGCGGAGGGTTTGAGCTTCTCCTCGGGGCCCTCACCTCCGGATGCCCTGGCCCCTCCCTAGACAGCTGAGGAGGAAACGGCACTGCCCCCACCCCAGATGCCCTGGTCTCAGGACCGAGTCCCAGGAGACACTCATAATGACTCCCGACTCCCTGTCATCGGGCAGAAGACGACTCACATCCACCCTGTAGGACAGGGCAGAATTGTCCCTGGGGTTCCGTGACCCTAGCTCTTGATGGCAGCAGAAAGCCTCATCTTTCCACTGCTGAGCAGCTGGTGGCTTTGAACTGCTGACCTTGAGGTGAGCAGCCCAACCTGTAACTACTGCACTAGTTCGGGTCAATCGTAGCCACAGCCCAGAGGGTGTCAGGCAGGCCGTGAGTTAGCAGACAGCACTTGTGGTAGCTATAGAATCATTGGTCAATTTGAGGATTAAGAGTGTAGGGGTGGAGTCCAGCTTGTCAATCAGATCATAGCCAATGCGGCCTCTGTGTGGGCATGGCCTTCTCCTGAGAATTCTGGGAAATCCAGTACTTCCTCCTTGGAGGTGGGCGACACTTCTCTCTCTGTCACTCCCTGGGAGACAGAGCAGCTGATAAGACACATGGACCCACCCTGGTGCAACCAGACTTCTGAAGCCGGAGAAGCCACAGAGAGACCCCGGCAGCACTGAGATGCTTACAATGCCACTGGATCTAAAGACTTCCCACCCACTGGCCTGTGATCTACATTCGGCGTCATTGCATGTGTTTCGTGGGTTTGAGGAGGACTTTATGGATTGGTGTCGGACGTATGGGCTAATATCGGACTTAGGGACTTGATCTGGACTGGGCTGGGATGTTCTCTCGATGTTCAATTGCTCTTGTATATAAATCTTTCTTATACACGTTTGTCCATGGATTTGTTTCTCTAGTCTACCCAGACTAACACAGTGCTATAAGAGGCTAGGGCACTCCGCCGCCAACCAAGAGGCTAGAGGTCAAGCCCACCTGGAGGTGATGAGGGAGAAAGGCCTGGCAACTGCTGTCTTAGGAAAAAACCTAAAAAATAAAACATCAGCCACTGAAAACCCCACGGAACCTGGTTCTGCCTGACCCCCATGGGTGGGGTTGCAGCGAGCTGGAGTTGATTGGTGGTGACGGACACTGCCGTTGGTGGACTTAAAGTAGAGGCATTCGGGCGCCCCGTGATGCAGGCTGTCTTTCATAGGGGCCAGGGCTTGAACTGACAAAGAGCAAGCCCAGGAGTCCAGTCAGTTCTGGGGGGCCCAGGTGCCCCGCCCTCCATCCATCCCTTTCCTCTGCCGGGGAGGCGGGGCCTGCGTGGCTGTGTTCCTAAGAGTCGAGTCCCTCACGTTGTCCATCACTGGACTCTAGTAATTCTTAAGGATCCCTTAAGTGGTCTCTCGTTGGAACCACAAGGTGGGCAGCTCGAGACCAGGAGCCGAGCTGCGGGAGGAAGGTGAGGCTTTCTGCTCCTGTAAAGAGTCACAGTCTTGGAACTCTCCAGGGGCAGCTGTACTCTGTCCCAGAGGGTTGCTGTGAGCAGGCATCGACCTAATGGCAGTGGACCCTAGTAGACCTTAGGGGGCAGAGTTGGGCAGTACAACTTTTGATAAGCAAGCCACGCAACAGACAGCGGACACAGGGCCGTGTACTTACAACAGAGCAGAATTGTCCCTGCCGGTTTCTGAGTCTGGAAATATTTACTGGAGTGGGGAGCCTCCTCTATCTCTTATGGAGTGGCTGGTGGATTCGAACTGCTGACCCTGCAGTTAGCAGCCCAGCTCGTAATGCACTAAGTCACCAGGGATTCTCCTGGTAAAGAGCTACGGGCCGGGGAACTCTCAGGACAGTTCTGCTTCCTCTGATAGGGTCACGCTGAGTCGGAATAGACTCAGGGCAGTGGATTTGGTTGAGGGTTTGTACAAACAAGACTGGAGCGCACACCACATCCAAAAAGGAGCGTGTGCCACACACCTGGGGCAACAAGCCCTGCTTCAGACACAGGCACTCTGTGGGAGGACCTTAAAGGCCAGGCACACGGGTACCAAGGATGCTCACTCTCGCTCTGCGGGGAGGAGGCCGAGCTGGTCGGTCTGAATTAATTCAACAAACACCTCCGAGGTCACCTTCCCTGTGGCCCTCACCTGTCTGGAACATCCCTGGAGACCTGGAGCGGGCACAATGGCAAAAACATGGGGGGGAGTGGAGCAGAGCTAACTCCCTCCTCCCCTCTTTGCAAACTGCACTGCTGTCAAGGCGAAGCTGACTCAGAGACTAGAACAGAGAACTCGCTCCCCTGGGGGGTGGGTATTTCCAGGGCTGTCAAGATGAACCACTGCACCACCAGGCCCCCATCAGAAACCCCCAAACCAAAAAATAACCAAACTCGCTGCCATCCAGTTGATGCCGCCGACTGGCGCGTCCCTGTAGGGCATGGTGGCAGAACTGTCCCGTGAGTTTCTGAGACTGTAGCTCTTCTTTATGGGAGTAGAAAGCCCAGTCTCTCTCCCTCTGAGCATCTGGTGATTTCGAACTGTGGACCTTGTGGATCTCAGCTCAACGCCTACTCTCTGCGCCACCAGGGCCCCATGGGAAGGCCCAGGCTTCGCATAGTCTGCGTTCCTGGGTGAGGACAACTACCCCCCCCCCCCAGGGTGAACGTGCCTGTCCTACGAGTGGCTCCCGTGGGAAGGGGCACTGTGAGCCCCGTAAGGGTGGCCTTCTGGGCTGCACACAGCGTTGTTAACTGCAAGGGCAGCAGTTCAAGCCTACCAGGTGCTCCAGGGGAGAAAGATGAGGCTGTGTGCTCCTATAAAAAGTTAACAGTCTCGGAAACCCATGGGGGCAGTTCGACCCTGTCCTCTGGGGTCGCTGTGAGTCGGCATCAACCCGAGGGCAGAGAGCTTGGTTTGGATATTTGGTTTCACGGTCCCTGTCCTTAGAATTCCCAGGTGGCAGGAGCTCTTTGTGCTCAGCCCTGGTGGTGTAGTGGTTACTGGGTCGCGTGGTTACTGGTATTCAGCGTGGTCATCAGTTCGAAACCACTAGAGACTGGGCTTTCTACTCCCATAAGCAGTTACAGTCTCAGAAACCGACAGCAGGTGGCTGAGTAAGCATTGCCCGATGGCAGTGGGTTCAGGGTTTGGTTAACCTAAAGACCGGTGATGGGAACCTGTCGCCAGAAAGGCCTGGTGAGCTGCTCTGGTTAAGCTGACCTATTGCTGCCCGGCCCATTCCGGCTCACGGGGGACCCTACAGGACAGAGGATGCCTGCCCCAGAGGCTGCCATCCTCATAGGAGTGGCCAGTGGATTCAGACAACAGACCTTCAGGACCCAGCCTAAGGCTTTAGCCGCTGAGCAGCCAGGGATCCTCAGTTACAGTGTAACAGTATACGAAACCCAAACTCCCTGCCACTGAGTCGATTTGGACTTGTAGCAACCCTATAGGATAGTCTCTGAGACAGGGTAGTCTCCGAGACTGGCTCTTTACAGGAGCAGAAAGACATCTTTCTCCCACAGGCTCGCTGGTGGTTCTGGACGGATGGCCTTGGCTCCAAACCCCACTGACTGACTGCCCTGAGTCAGCTCTGGCTCCTAACGAGCCTAGGAGGAGCCCTGCGGGGGCAGCGCTACCCTGTCCTTCGGGTCACTCTGAGTCGGCATCGACTCAAGGGCAGCACGTGCAGGGTGGAGCCTAGAAAACCCTGTGGCATGTGCAGCTCTCCCCTGTAATGCGGGTCGCTGGAATCGCCTCTCGGGCAGCGAGCCTGTTTGCTTTGAGGTTTTGGGGGAGGAGGGTCTGGTGCCGCCGGGTTGGGGCCATTGTGTTTCGCCGTGGGCCTGTGGCGGGAAGAAGAAAACCCTGCAGGCAGACCAGTACCCGTTCTCCAGTCATGGCGAAGGGAGCGTTGAACCACTGCTCGAAGGTGCTGCAGCTCTTGAAAATCGTGGGGAGCAGGAAGTTGAGGAGGGCCCAGAGCTCGGGCAGCTTGTTCTGCAGCGGGGTCCCGGTCAGGAGGACCCTTCTTGGAGCCACGTAGTGGGTGTTGAGGACCTGGGTCAGCTTGCAGTGGTGATTCTTCATGCGGTGGCCCTCGTCCACGATCATGTACTTCCAGCGGATCTGTAAGCAAGATGGCAGTGAGAGCCGGTGAGCCCAGGCACTCACCACAGGCGAGTGGCAACGAGCCCATGCACGGCGCACAGTGGGGCACCATCGTTCTTACAATGAAGCATCTCAACAAACCCTCCCTCCACTCTGCCTGGTAACAAGAGAGGATACTTGGGCGGGTGCCCATTCTCTAGGCCCGAGAACATTTTAAACCAGATATACCGGATGGGAACATCATGCCACGGTGGAATCCTCTACCTTGAGACCAGAGGAACTAGAAGGTGCCCAGCTACTGCTACCCACGGCTCTGACTGGCCCTGGATGGAGTGGGAGAAAAATGCCAAGCAAAATTCAGAACCACGTGAAAGACTGGCTTGGTCGGACAGAGACTGATGGGAAGCTCAGGACTGTGGTTCCTGGCCACCCATTAGACCTGGGACTGCCCCCACGTCCCTGGGCTCACCTTACCACCAGAGGACACACAGGCTCATCGAGGGACCCCCCGCCCCCCCTGGAAAGTCAATCAATGAAGCCACGAGGGCAGCCTGAGACCCCAAAGCCCAGAAGGCAGGAAGGGGCGACAGAGAAGGACGCACAGACACCAGGAACCCGAGGGCAGAGGGGAAGAGAGCGCTACATCCAGGGGATTGTGACCAACAGAAGCCGGTGCATGGGAAACCGATGGCTCTCTAAACTTTCACCAAATCCAGTTTGGGGAGGGGAAAGACAATAGAAATGCGAACGCAATGGTGTTCCGTAGCCACCAGGTGATTCCACAGGTGTTTCAGCAGTGAGGACACTCGGTCTCAGAACGAATGCTCCTCCCTGCTCATTGGGAGGGCCAGGACTAGATCCCACCTCTCTCCATCCAGTGGGCCGACTGCTAATGGGACATCTCACCCCTTCCCCAGACATACTGTGTGGATTGTAAGGGAAGAGTGTACAGAGATCCCCACTGGAAGCAGGAGTCAATGACCGGCTTTCCCAAGCAAGCGGGCACCAGCAGGTCCCTACACAAATCGGAAGGGGCTCATTTCCCTTTCTGTGTCTAGCTCCCATCCTCTGTCTGGGCTTGGAAGCTCCCCGGAAACTGGCCCACCGTGCGTGCCTCAGTTGGTATTGGAAACACCAATGACGGGCCAGCGTCCAGCGCCACAGCAACATGGCAAAGCAAACTCACTGCCGTCCGGTCGGTGTCCACTCAGGGGGCTGACAGGACAGGGTAGAACTGCCCCTGTGGGCTTTTCCGAGGCGGTGTCTGTGTGCGGGAGCAGAAAGCCTTATCTTTCTCCCGAGGAGCGGCCAGGGGTTTCAAACTACCAACCTTGCAGATGCCAGCTCAACGTGTAACCCCTCCTCTACTGGTGCTCCAGCACCAGGCAAAGGTTGGGTGATCTACTTCTGAAAGCTACTCCAGGGAAGCCCGGTGGATCCAGTGGAAAGTGCCCGGCACGGTGCTGGGACAGGAGGCCCCCTGGGTTGGAAGGTCTTCCTTCCCAATGACTGCAAAAGTAGCCCCCCAACGGGCCCGTGGTGGTGAAAACGGGGCAGGACTGGCCAGGGTTTCATTCTACGACACGAGGAAGCTTCAAAGGGTTCGTATCCAGGTGTATCTCACAGGTCTTGTCACCGGAGGCCACCCTCTTGAAGTTGTGTTAAATGTTTTTCGGGTTTTTGGTATCTGAAACTCAGGGCTGATGAGCCTATAGGCAAGCAAGTAGCGTAAGGGTTTTGGGGGCTGGGGGGGAAAGTGGTGGTGGTGGAGGGGTGTGTGTGTGCTGTAAAAGGGAGATGCTGTCCAGGAGTTCAGGAAGAAAAAGAATGTTTGGGAATTGATTGTGGTAGCAATTGTACAATTCCGCTTGACACGACTGAACTACGGAATGAAAGGATGTGTGTATTAACTCCCAATCCATTTTAAAAAGAAAAGCTCCCGGGGCCTCCGGGGGTTGGAGCTGGCGTGATGGCAACCAGCCCCTCAGCACGCCGAGGTCTTTGCCTCGTGCCGGGCTTCTGCAGCGGAGCGTGGCTGAGCCTGGCCAGCGCTCGGCTCCGTCCGTTTCTTGTCAGCTTGAATCGTTGCTAATAGTTGGACCATTTCCCTCGGAAACCTGGGCCTCCAGCTTTGTCCCCCGAAGGAAAAGGGGCTAGAACAGGCAGCCCTGGGCCTTCAGCCCAGCTCACCCCAGCTCACGCGTGCCTCCGGAGCCTGGGCCAGGGGACCCCGTTTTAAGACATCCAAAATGGAAGAGTGTGTTTGCCGGTGAGAGGGCCTTGTCGGACCATCCTTCCCTCTGTCCCCTGGCCCTCCAGTCATCACCAGGGTCATTGCTCACCGCTCTTTACAGTGAGAGGAAGGAGGAGGGGCCCCAGGACCCAGCCAATGCCTACAGAACAGCAGCCAGGGCCAGATGCCCATCTGGGCTCACAGACCCCCAGAGGGGCCAGTCAACACAGCTCCGGACACAGTCTTTCCTTTCTTGTTCTACACGCCAGTGGAGCCCGGGGGAAGGCGTCAGAGCACACAGGTCAAAGGACAGACGCAAAGGTGACCCAGCCACACGCACTCTCTTCTTACTCAGCAACCCCTCAGCTCCTTACATAGAGAACTGAGAGCGGAGACGGGAAGAGATGGATGCACACCCACTGAGGGCCTGGGCTCCCTCTCGGGGACACAAGAACCAACCAAACCCTTGGCCGTCCAGTCAGTGCTGACCCTCTGGACCCTGCACGAGGGAGTCAAACGGCCCCAGAGGGTTCCCAAGGCTGTCGATTCTTAGAGGGGCCGGTGGATTTGAACCACTGACCTCTATGCTTCACCCTTGCCTCCTGGGCTTATGATTTGGGGTTTGCGTTACCCTCCTCTAGGGACCCTGGTGGCAATATGGTTACATGTTGGGCTGTGATCCTCAAGGTCAGCAGTTCGAAACCACCAGCCCGCTCCAAGGGAGAAAGACAGAACTCTCTACTCCCACAAATGGTTACAGCCTCGGAAACCCACAGGGGCAGTTCTGTGTTGTCCTATAGGGTCACTGTGAGTCGGCATGGACTCGACGGCAGTGAGTTTGGCTTTACCCTCCGGTGGGTTAGGAGACATGGATGAGTTTGGAATGAATTGTGCTCCGAAAAGCTAGTCAACCTCATCAAGACGAATACGGCAGGGAAAACATCGAGGAAAGAGTGTTCATGGCAAAAGAAGCTGACTCTGAAGGAGACAGGGAGGCTGGAGGGTGCTGAGGAAACAGGAGGGGGCGGGGCAGAAACAAAGGGTTACAGGCATGGCGGGGGAGGGAGGGCCTTCTGGGACAAGCTCTGTGTTCTGGGGGTAGTGACTAGGCAGCTACTTTCCAAACAGGCCTGAGCCGCCCAGCTGCACTTCACACCCTGGTCCTTGCAGGTGCGCCACCCACGTACCTTGGCGAGGATGTGCTTGTCTTTGATGATGTACTCGTATGTCGTCAGGAGCACGTTGAACTTGCCGCTGCGCAGCTGGGGGACGAGGGAGCGGCGCATGGCGGGAGTGCCCTGACAGGGAGAGAGAGGACACACGCTGCCCAAAGGGGGTTGGAGCGCAGGAGACAGGATCACATCCCATCTGCACACGCACGCGCACACACTCACTCACATACACACACACACAGTCACACACATACACACTCATGCACTCACACACACGCACATGGACACATACTCACATACACACACATACACTCAGGCATACATACATATACTCTCATGCACGCACTCACACATACATACATACACACATACACTCACATAAATACACATATACTCATACACACATACAACACTCACATACACTCACACACACTTACACACATACACACACGCACCCACCTCTTCAGACACACATACACTCACACAGCTGTCACGCACACATCCCTTCAGACACACATACATTCACACTCACAGCTGCCACGCCTCTGAGCTCAGGGGGGCTTGCACACTCAGGCATGTCTTAACACATCCCAGACCCTCCCAGAATGGTGTTCCTGAGGAAGGGGAAGGGGAGAGGAGGAACTGGGGGTGTCCTCGAGTGGAGACCCCTCCTAGCTGGGCCATCACTGTCTGGCTTCTGGGCACTGTGGGAGCCAAGTGCGGGCTAGCCAGCCATGGTGAGGCAGGGTGCCGGTCCTTGTGATGTCTGACTCTCTTCAGAGGCTCAGACAGTGAGGATGCCCAACTGCCACTGTCGGCCTCCAGGTGATGGACGCCGGTGGTTTCGCACGAGGCCCACAGGACAGAGCTCTGACACTGAGCCTGCCCACGGGTGTGCAGGGCCTGGGAGGGGTTGGGGAAGGGGGCCCCCACCCCACAAACACAGCTTCCCGCACCTTATAAGAGATCTTCACCACGGAGGGAGCCCATTTGTCAAATTCGTACGTCCAGTTGGAGAGGGTCCTGCGGAGGGAGAACAGGAGTGTGTGCGGGCCCACACCACGGGCTGGCAGGACACATGGTGAAAGGCGTCGTCGGAGGTGGAAAGGCTGGCTCAGGCTCAGGGCCGGAAGGGCTTGTTGTCGTGGGCCGTCGGAAACCCTCCTCAGCCACACTGCCACCAGGAGTGCTGCACACGGGCGGGCGTTGGACGCCCCCGGCCCAGGGCGGAGTGAGAAATGGCGGCGTCAGTTCAGAGAGGAGACGAGCCAGGAAAAGAAAAGACCCTCCCACGTGGCGGCCTTCGATAAATCTGCCAGAGAGGGCAGGCGCCAGGGTGGGGGAGGCAGAGGTGGAGGGGATGGTGAAGGACTGAATTAAAAAAGCAAGCCCTTAAAGGGTCCTTGTCATGAACATGCTGGACTGTGTGCCAGCTGTGGACCGGATGCAAGATGTCGATCCAGCATAGAGATCCAAAGCAGACGTCGTCTGAAAGAGCAGGGGCTCCCATCACAGGCAGTAAAAACACAGCCCTCAGGTGGCCCTCCCGCAGCCGCAACTGGGGGGAGGTAGTCAAACGGAGGGAGCCCTGTTGGCCTAGTGGTTAATCTTTGGGCTGCACAGTTCAAAACCGCCAGCCGCTCTGCATGACAAAGACGGGGCTCTCTACTCCCACAGAGAGTTTCAGCCTCGAAAACCCAGGGGGGCAGTTCTGCCCTGTCCTGGAGGGTCGCTGTGAGCCGGCATCGGCTTCAGGGCAGGGACTTTGAGGACCACTGTTCTTCCTCGAG